TTTTTTGTTAATATTTATATAATTTTTTTTATTTATATTAGTTATACTGTATGTTATTCAATTAAAATATAATTTGACTATTATTTGCTTATCTATAGAAATTAAAACTATTTTTAATTTTTATTATGATATTAATAGTAATTTATTTATTGCATTTAAATTACATTGTATTAATGATTTATTTTGTATTTGTTATATTTTTTTTACAGTGGATTGCTATAGTTCTCGTTGCACGAAGGTTGTTGATTCCACCCAACCGCAACGACAAAACCCATTTGACCCCCAAAGACGAGTTCAAGAGGAAGTTCCACCTGATGTGGTTCTAGAGACTCCAGCTTCAGATGCTGATATATAGGCTGAGTCTCCCAATGATGAGGATACACCTGTGGATACTCCCTAGCAGAGACAGGGACGGGGGCAAGCTAAGCTCATGCAGATGCCTACAGATGGGATGAAGATCCCATTAGAGCTAGATGAGTATGGTGGTTTGCCACAACAGGTCAGACGACAGATTGTGGTCCAGTTGCGGGAGAATCTCCCAGATGCTTACACAGTGTGGGGATAGGTCCTTCAAGAGCATCGGGACATGTATTGGAATATATTCAGTGTACGCCCAATTTCTATCTACAAATTAGATATTTTCAATTTCTATCTTCAAAGTTTAAGTAATTTGAAATTTTTTTGTTATTGTCATTAATATTTTTTATTAAATTATGTATTTATTTATATTTCTATTATTTTCAGCAAACATATGAATGAGATCCTGCGATTGAGAAGACTGTAAAAGATTTATGGAACATGACAGCAAGGATCAAGTTCAAGCATGCACTTAGTGAGTTGAAAGCTAAGTGTCCAAAGAGAAACTTTCAAGCTAAGCCTCCAGATATGAATCCAAAGTTATGGGCGAAGCTTGTTCATTTATGGACTGAGGTAATGGAGTAAATTCATGTGTTTATTATTATTATTTTTTTAATTTGCAATTGTAATGTTTAATGTTTTTATCATATTATTTATTAAGAAATTATATGTGTTCACCACTTTTACAGGACGAGGGTCATTAGAGAATGTCAAGTTCTGCAAAGGCTAATTGAGCAAAAGGACCAAGGGTGACGCATACCAGTGGTTCAATGGACGTTAATGTTTATAGAAAGAAAATGGTATAAAAGTTAACATATTTTTAATGAATAATTAATGATTTATGATTTATAATTTATTTTATATTGATTTTAATATTTTCTCTTCTTTTTTTTTTCTTTACAGCAACAAGCAAACGCCGAGGGTCGTCTACCAACATATCCTGAAGTCTACACTAGTAGAAGGCAGTATAAAGGAAAAGGAAAAGATCAACTGCCTGTATATTGTAATGATGAGGCTCAAGAAATTAGAGTAAGTATTTAACTTAACAATTTTATTTTAAATTGTGTTATGAATTAATTGAAATTATTTTAGTTATAATATTTAAACTATTGTACAATATAGTTATTGGTAGAAAGTTAGAACTCCATCCTTTTAGGGGAGAGTAAATTGAATTTAGGTGTCTAAAGTGATATTTTTAATTTCACTTTAATTTTCAATACAATTAATTATTTATTTTGTCTTATATTATTTCAGGAAAAATTGACAGCTGAATATGCTACTAGACAAGAGGAAGAAGGATTTGACCCTACAATACCTCGTGCTGAGATATTATTTAGGGCAACTGGTGGGGTCAAGAAAGGATGGTTGAAAGGTTGGATATTCACACACATCCACAGGATATAGGTGTGAGCACATCTAGACGAAAACCATTCAGGCCACCCATTATAGGACAATCAATAGGGTTATCGAATTAGAGCAGACTGTTGAATCATTGAAAGCAGATAATCATAGCCTTCGACAAGCAATGTCTAATGTTTTGGCAGATAATGATAGCCTACGGCAGCAACAATCGACCCTTGCGACACAGATGCAGCAACTCTACCAGCATTTAGGGATGACCTCAGCGGATACCATGTCACACCCCAACCCCAAGGTCAAGACGTAACAAACGCAACACATCTATAGGGATGACCCCATAAATGTGTAAGGCTACCTTAACTAAACAACTTTTAGTGTCCAAATGCAATAAAATTAAATTCTATAAGAAACTCCATCTTTATTAACATGTACGAGAAGTTGGTCAAATCCAAAACACTTAATTCTCACTTCATAAAATCCAACATAAAATTTAACAGCAATAAGTCATAGCAAATAGATCTTCAATTCTAATTATTCCACAATCCAGAATAACTTAAACTAAACCAAAGAACTACTCTAGAATCGTTGTGCCTCTCACTCCCAAATGCAACCCCAAATGCTTACTCATCTGTACCTGAAATGAGATGAGATTTTAAAAGCATAAGCTAGTCAGCTCAATAAGAGTATACCCATCTAGTTTGATCAAGCATTGTATTTCAATGAAATAATAATTAAATAAAGTAAACAACTTTTCAATAAGGAAACCACATTCCAAACTAAATGAAAAGAAACAAAAATTTCAAGTTCTTTAGGCTGCATCACACTCCAAATATAGCATCACACTCCACATCACCCTCCACATCACACTCCATGATAAATAGATCCCGGGACTACTATCAATACCCTCAGTATACCCCTGAGTAGCGGGTTAATTTATCCAACCAACCAAGAACATGAAAACCCAATATCAAAAGAAAAATTATTTCCAATTTAATAAACCACACTCTTCGATAGAAAACAGTCCACACTCAAAATGCTTGATCAATATTCATCTCATTTCAGTATAAAATATTCTTATTCTTAAGACATAATAACCAAATAAAATCATATAAAATACGCTAAAAAAGGTAAAATAAATTTCAATAAAACAAACCTTTTAAAAATAATACTAGAGGATATAACAACTTACCTCGAATTATTAATCAATTTTTCATTCGACGCTACCTCTTGAATTATTTAAAACTTTCCTACTACCTTCTTTGTTAGAATTGAAAAGATCTACAAATCGTAGCCCATATTGCTAGAATCGAATCTGACATGAAATAGAGTTCCAAAATTCTCTCAATTCCTTTTCCAATTCACATTCTTAATTATAAAGTTAGATCTAAGAACAAAACCATCACATAATTGGGAAACTTACCCTAAATTTTCCTTAATTTGACTAATCCGGCAATCTATCGGACGGAAGCCCCTTTCTTATGCTTCACAAATGGCGACAGCACCTTCAGAAGTGGGCGGCAGCATTCCAGCCTTTCCGCCAACCCCTAGTCCGTTTTCTATTTAGGTTTTAGTAAAAACAATGTTATAATATTTGGTTAGTCCTTTCACTCTTGCTTCCTTTATAGTTAAACCTCTTAATTCCCTCTCCTTACATTTAAATCCTTTAAGGGCTTAAATAAAATTATTTAAAAGTAATAAAATAAAATAAAATAAATGCCGGATATTACATACAAGTGGGACAGTCACCCCTAGGACACCCCGAGATATTTAGGTTTTTCATATTTCAATTAAATATTTGTATTGACTTTATATTTGTAATAGATATTGAAGACTTATATATTTATACTAAATTTAAAAAAATTTCTAGCATTTTATATGATAAACATCATAAATTATATGAAAATAATTCAATATCATAAAATTATGTAAGGAATATCGAATTAAATTATTTTTT